CTTTCCTTTCCTTTCCTTTCCTTTCCTTTCCTTTCCTTTCCTTTCCTTTCCTTTCCTTTCCTTTCCTTTCCTTTCCTTTCCTTTCCCTGTCCAGAAAACTAGGGAGGGTCCCTTCTGAGATGCTTTCCATGCCACACCTCCCCTTCTGTGGACTGAGATAACTTTTACATGGTGGTTGTCCAGTCTGTGGCTCTTCCTCCTATTTCCCAAGGCCATTCCCACATACCATTACACGTAGCTGTAGATTCCAGTTCATGCAAGGAATATTCTGCCAAATGCAGGACAACCTGCATTCAGCTGTTTTTAACTCCTGGAGATTCTTTTTTTAGCTACAATATGAGTTTTCTTTACCAAGCTGTTATTGGTAAAGAAACCACAAAATACCTTTTCCCTGGCCAGATATCTTGTTCTCTACCTTCATTGTTTTTACTGTTGAAATAATCCCTCCCGCTCCTACTTCCATTTGTATATTTAATTGTATCCCATTAGAATGAATGGACAGAAGGATACATGCATAATACTGAGGATATATTACTCTTCCACATTACCATATTCTTTCCACATTGTACCTCACTGACATTTCTGTGCTCAAATTTAGTAACATGCATTGACAAATAAAATTGCTTGCATAACCTAGTACCCAATATTCAACCCCTTGGTCATGTTTTGGGGAGTGCCAAAGGGTGAAACCCCCAGCAACAAGATTTGTTATGGAGAATTACATTGGTTCTGTTCCCATGATATGGCCAATCTCTTCTCTCCAGTCACTTTACCATGATGTCTATATGGTTTGTGTGAAGATCCAGCAATGGTTTTGTTAGTTCATATACAATCACGATAACCTTAAACACTGTGTTGATCAGTAGAACCTGGCTTATTTGTGAAGATCTAAATAAGGTTTTTTTCCAGCACAGAAAACAGTCCAGAAAGTTCTGCATATTTGTTAATCTGATTTAATAATTCTGTGACTTCAGCTTCCAGTGATGTGTATTACATAGCTCCTTTCCTTTTTTTTCCTCCAGTGATGAACATGATGCCATTATTTAAAGCCTGCGCTGAAAAGACAGAAAGCAGACATCCGCACGTGTACTCCTGCTTTTAGGAACACTTTCTCTCTGGGAAACAGGCCTTAATAATTTTTTTTTTCATTATCTGATCTGATATTGACTGTTTCATCCCTTTTTTGACATGCGTTTACCTGCAAATCTGAGGAACTCCATAAGGACTGCATACTTCAGAGTGCCTTCAGTGAAGCATTTCAAGGAATTGATATTGGCACCTGCTTTTAATCACTCTCTTTTGAAAACTGTTGAAATAAACATTGTAACCACTTGGCTCTTATCTACAGAAGATCAGAGATGACAAGTCCACAACAGAATACAACTTCAAGTGTTGGGTTCTGAACCTTTTTCTTTCTGACATGTTTTAATCTCCAGTCTTTTAATTCAGGAAGACAAATCAGACATTGATGGACAAATAAGAGTTCCCTTTCCAAAGATGTCACAAAAATAGTATTTCCAGATCATTTGTGTGAGATGGTGGAATATTGTTTCCTTAACAATCTGGGGAAATTCAAATATTGTATTTGCCTTGTTGGATGTTTAAGATTTTTTTTTTTAACTTTGTGGTTCCAAAAAACAGGTGCAACAGGTAGGAATGCAAAGGTGGATTTGAAGCTTTTGAGGTGGTGGATGTGTTTTATGCATTTTAAAACTTGAGAAATGAATAGGATTGTCCCTGCCCGGAAGCAGATAGATATAAAGTAGGCATCTTCAGACTCTTTTATAGAAGGGGAGGCCAAAATCTCCTCCAGTTTGAAAGCATTCTGGAATCATTCATTTGGGTTCCATCTAATGAAATCTGTTCGATTTGGAGTCACCATGTCAAAAATAATCCTGCAGAAGGTCATATGAGTTAACTCTTAGACAAGGGACAGTGTGACTAATCAGCTTAATATAGATACTTGTGTAATTACTACATTGTATTTACACTTTCACACGAAAGTAGAGAAGCTGGTTAAGGAATAAAAATCCAGAACATTTCCACCAATAATTATTTAATCATAGGCTTTGACTGTTGTGTGTGTTATCTAAGGGGAATCAACAATGGTAGCAACAAATTATTCCATGCTACCCAACATCCAGAGTATATTTCGGAAATGAAACAAACTTGAAATTGAGCAGGCATGGGGAACTTAAACTCCCTTAACTTAAATATATAAATGTGCTCCACAAAATTCCTCATCTGGTTCACTAGATTCTCAAAGAAGCCCTCACTTGATTCTCACAAGGAACCCAACATTTGTTTCAACGAGATGGGCAGTGACAAGTTAGATAAATAAAAATAAACAAACAAACAAACATTCAGAGGACAAACATCCAAGCTCTTCTCCAACCTTCTTGGAGATGGGAGATTTTTTTTCCTTCTTCAGAAGACATAAAAGCAGCCTCCATTGTTGCCAATGGAAAGTATTATTAACACAAGTTGCTGCATGGAGGAGGTTTGAATAGGAATTTCTGTAAAGGTGGAAAGCCTAACTCTTTCCAATGTTATGACCCATCCCCCCGGTGCAACATTTTGCCTTACATCTTTCTTTAATAACAGCACTAAAACTGAAGTAGTAGATAATAAGCCGAAGTTGCTAATGGAGAGTAAAGGGATAACTCACCCCACCCCAGAACTACACTTCCATCAGAAATCGTTCCTTCTGTTCTTCAGTCAGGTTTTAAGATAGCCTCCACCATAATTGTTTAAATGGAGTTTGTATCTCTTTTCTTGCACATGAGTAAAGTGTGCACCAAGAGAAAGGCCTGTGCATTCTGGCTATGACACCTTCTAGTTCACAGAGCCTGCAACTTCCAAATTACTTCCTGGTTATATATATATTGTATTAGTCAAGTGCCATTACTCAGAATTTTTTTAATGCTAAGGATTGGGTTTTTGTGTGACAGATCCCACAACTTGTACCATCTTTCTTCCACTGGGCAAGCAAGCTTTTTCTATGAATGACAAAAGCTGGGGGAATGGCCAGATATAAAAGTAGAATTTGTACTCTATTTATTTGATCTCTGCTGAGATTCAGGAACTGTTACCAGAAAGAGAACACTTACTGTATTGCATTGTATTGATAACTAACTTTCATTGGGGGTGGGGGAAATCTGTCTTGTTGGACTATGGTCTTAGTTCTACCTCCCCTTAGTATGATCTTCCTTTCCATCTCAAGCCCTCAGAATAATCAGACTCCTCTTGACCCCTATACACGACTTGAATAGGATCTGCACACAAGCAACTTCTTTGTAGTTTTCTTCTCTGCTGTTTAACTTTACAAGTGTGTTCGGATGCACGCTTTAAGGTGTTTTCACAACTGCACAAGGTTAATGAGATAAATGTGCCTTTCCCTCTCTTTCTGTGTGTCTGTGTGTTGGTGTATCAGAATAATTAATGGCCATGGTACTTGCTTTGCTTGCTATAAGTTGACTACTAATTGCACATCTCTTTAGGACTGCAGTGATATAACTGAAGATGCAGTAGAGAATGGAGCTGTTGTGAAACGTGTTCCTAACACACAACAATTTGCAACTTGCAATTTTTAACCTATGCTTCTGGTACTGGTTGTCTTCCAAAGGCCAAATCATGCATTACCAATTTGCCAACTTCTATAATGCAGTTTTATTTTTATTTTTTTAAATAAGCAGAAGGCCACAATAGTTTGCTCATGTCCTCTCCTCCATAATGTGCAAACAAACCTACTGTAATGCAGTCTCTATAGGCAATTTGGGAAGTGAATTCGTATTTTTCCCCCATCTTGAAGTCTTGTAATGTTTGATCTGGGTCCATATGAACCTGCTTCTGCCCATTTTCACCAATGGTTCATGCAGGAATGTTACCATTTTCAAAATGTCTTGGACTTGCCACTTCAGAAAGAAGGCTAATTATTACTTTTTTTTTTTTTGATATACTTCTGTGGCCCTGTTCACATGACACATCAGCTAAATGTCAATGGCTTTCTTGTGAATTAATGGATTGTGCAAGCCAGTGAACTTATGGTTCAGTGTGTGGATGAATTACGCTAATTCTGTATACTTAATTCTATATACTGCGAATATGAGTCCATTTTTGGCACTTAAACTTTAATGCAAGGAAAGGAAAAAATGTCTAAAAATGTCAGTTTTATTCAATTAGGGTATTTCTGGAGGCTCCAAATGGGATGCTGGCACAGCTGCAGACAGCCTGTACTTGCCCACCCTGTCTGTAAGCAACTGTTAAGGTTTCAAGTTGAATATGGGAATGAGTCCACCCTTTTCATTGCCTTTTTTGTTACACTCCGTTCTGAATGTTTAAAGATTCTGAGGAAAAGCAATTTTATTCAGGGATGGGTCTGCCCATGGTTACAACTCGCGTGAGAGATCTCTGTGCCGAGCAGCCTGGAACAGCTCGTGTTAGACAGAGTAAGGGGACTGTTTCCCCGATGGCAATGTTTGTGGTGCAAGAAGTGACGCTGAGATGTTAGAGAACAGATGCTTTGACCCCCATCCCCTGCTGTGCATCTTCTGAGTCCGTATGGGCAACAGCTATTGTGGGGAGACAGAATTCTCTGCTTTTGCGGGGGGGGGGGGAGGTTAATTAAAGAAACAAAACTTTCCACCACGGAACTTTGTCTGGTCTTATTTGAAG